AAAAGCTGCCCAAATGCATTAGTCCAAAGTCTCTTCCTTGCATTGTCTTTAATTTCAAAGATTATATATACTTTGGGTTTTGTTAACTAAACTACTGAGTCTTTTCCTTTTCTATCCTCTTTCTTGTCAGCAAGAAGGCTAAGACAAAGCAGACCTACACAAACACCTCCCCCCCCCCCATGCTGGGTCTTGTCTTCTCTTGTCATAGGTCCCATCTTTGTCTCTGGCCTGTGCTAATATTATATGGCTAAGAAATGATAATTCCTCTTTTTTGTGTATTTGGGGAAGGAGCTTTGAGTCCAATGTACCTGAAATACAAGGAATATGTTCTCTTATGTTTGCTGCAGGTGGAGCAAGTTTCTTTGCTTCTGGCCTTACTTGGAGAAGACCATGCATTGCTTTGCATGCACATGCAGTCAGCAATATGGAGAGCAGGTCTTCAGCAGAACCCAAATGTTATTTAGAAACACATTTTTTAAGATGCCAGGGACCACAAAGAGGCAAGCTGAGACAAGAGGGTGGGCACTGAATCCAGTTACCTGCCTCAATGACTATCTATCAGCCCAGCAGTTCTACCCATCTTTCCCACTGCACATTACTGAGTCACTCAAAAAATACATTTGTGACCCTGAGATTAGCTCAGCTGGTTAGAGTATGGTGCTAATTAGGCCAAGGTTATGGGTCTGATCACTGCATGGGCCATTCACTGAAGAGCTGGACTCGATGATTCTTGTAGGTCCCCTCCAGTGCAGACTATTCTGTGATTCTGATTCTGTAGTTGGTGACAGTGAGCAAAAACTGTAGGGAAATCATTCAGGAAAGGAAGATAAAAGCTCATTAGCTGGCATCTTTATAGCATTTTCCCAGTCTGACTCTGCTGACAATATAACCTAAGCCTCAGGCTGTTTTCGTGAAGTAAAAAGGTGCAATTATGCCTGTTTTATAGATAAGGAAACTGGTAACACTGATTTGTCCTCGGGGAACAGGATGCAGAACTAGGAGGACAACCTCCTCTGCCTGCCTTGTGGCTTTGTCTTTAAGCTACTGTGTTCTTACAGCAATATTTCTGTGGGGCTAATGGTTTTTCACTGCCAACAGGTATACAAATACACTATCAACACCATGTACTTGAAATCCTCTGGTACAATTTGTATTCACGGGCCAAGTTAATGCCCGGGAGACCAGGTCTGCAGCTGAATCTAAATGCTAAGCTATTTTAACAGCATAGACACACAGCATTATGCACCAGTCAGCAATGAATGAGAGACAGCAAAAAAAAAAAAAAA